AAGGCTCAGTTTTGACTGTGTGCACTTAAAATATCCCAAGATGTTATTTTCATCATGAATATGCCTCTGTATGGTAACACATTTCAATTTAGTACTTTGACAGAGGGCGGTATTGCAGCATCAGCTGATATCTGATTCCATTGAATCATTGAATCATTGAACTTAATAACTTGGTAGCCAAGACTCTTAAAAATAGACTAAAAAGTTCAAACAGATTATTTGAATCATGTTTGCACATGTGATGTTACCAAGTACATTGCATATGTCCCACACATGCAAATATCCATCCTTGTTTACAAGATTTCAGAATGAAAATTTCACATTTAGTTGATGATATAGGATCTATTGGTACCTATAGTTGATCTGTGTGGTCACATTTTGCTATATTCACTTGCAATATCTAAAATTGTTTTTCCTTCATGAATAGGATTGCATATAGTAATAAATTTTTATTTGGTACATTGTCATTTGACTTTCCACTATACTGGTATGTATCAATGTTTCCACCAATGATCAAACCTCACCGTTCCAACATTGCCTTAAACTTTATGATACATACTCTACCTGATTAGTTATTTAACCTGTAAATGGCTAAATATGCTTGTAGAAACTTCATCTATTTTTAGGATGCATTTGTCACTTTAATACATGCCCATTGCTTCACATCTTTGAGTGTTACTCTATCAAGTTTACCTTTTTTAACCCTATTTGCAACCTTAATGTTATTTTGAAATCACCATTTCTAACACATTTTAACTTCATTTGCCTACATCTTTCTGTTTTTTTTAGAATTAAGTGAAACATGCTATATCTTTTCAGGTCTAGCCTGGTATCTGGAATAAAGTATTAGAGTTGTATCATTTTGGAAGCTCTCCAGTAGTCCAATGGTGATAGCAAGGTCTCATAAGAACATGTGCAGTCTGCTGCTATAAGTGACCAAGATGAGTTCATATTAGTACACTGATATACAGCATCTCAAAGACATGGCTTAGATCTTCATGACAGAGATTCACATTATTTTTCAGTAAGGTGGAACTTCCCTGAAACTGTATTTTCATATTGCATTGTTGACTTTTGTAGTTATCGGCATTAAAATGGAATGCATATTTGCTATAAAACATGGTAGTGGTCCCATCAAAACTTTAAATTTGAGTGGGTTATTAGTTATACAAACAACTGCCCAAGTACCTAAAACAATAAATGTGAAACATAGCACCTGTCATTGTTTCTTTAGTATGTACACCTATATGCATCTGGATAGGCATGTTGCAATTTGCTGTCAAAATCATTGTGAGCTATCATGCTTCAGTACCCCTGGGATTAATATTATCAGTTGTACAGACCTAAACTACCATTTGTTTTAAACACTATTAATTAATCAACTTTTCTGCCTTAAATTTGTGAAACTGAATGTCATAACTTGTATGAAAATTTAATTTTTGTAAAATAAATAGTTTTTAAAATTGATATATTCATTTAAATTTTTATTAAAATTTAATATATCAATATTTTTTACTTTCAAGAATATTATCAGACAGGCCTTATCAAGTATTACAATTAGGTTTTTACCTCATTGAAAAATTCCTATAATTAAGGAAGATATAGCAAATTTAGTTTTGGTTTCTTAAGAACAATTGGATCCCTATAGAACACCAGCACTACACACTTTCTGATAGCTGTCACGTGTTTTGCTTGCAAGGAAATTTCAAAAGACTTTATGTATGAAGTTGAAATAGTAGTGGCATGCAAAAAAAAAAGTTTGACAAGAACATTGACCCTTTCAGGAATCAGTACACAATTAATAAAATCCGGTTCAGTACCCACGAATGTAGTCCCAGTCTATTTTTAGATCACTTTTTCCGGTCTAAATGTGGTGGTGATACTAGAGTCAGCTTTTGGCATTCTTGGTAAGGATTTAAAGGCAATTGTTTATTCTGTAAAATGTGAGCTTATGGTGTGGTTGTCTGTGTGTATTTCGGCGAAAGTGCACATTGAGTAATAAGGTCATGGTGATGATCCGGAAGTGAATTCTGTGTTCCGTTGCCTGGTGTTTTGTTTACAATTCAGCCTCTCAAAAACATGCAGGTCAACCCTTGACAAGAACTAAACCGTAAAGTCATCTTTGAAGGTTTTTTAGATTAACATATGATTTGTATTGATTGTCACACAGTGGAAAGCTCAGTACTGAGAAACAAATGTAGAGAATATATAGTGAAATTAATTGTGTACTATGGCTGGATATAGCTGCAAGGCAGCAGAGGCATGGGGCTTTTCTGAAGGAATAAGGCACTTGTCTCCCCTTCCCATCCCGGCAATGTCAACCTTATCCGCAACAAGTCGATTAGGCAGGTTGAAACATAATACATTTAGACGTTTAATTCATGTAGAAACAGACATGAAAAGTTTGCAAACACAACGGTTTTTGTGTTATATTTGTTTTGTCTATCGTTTGTATATTCCTTTGAAAAGGATTCCTTAAGAGTCGAAACCGCTCAAGCTATTTAGATACTAGCTTTGTACTGTTCGTTATCAGTTTAATGCAATTATATATATGAAATTATTGCGGAAATAAAAGCGCAGAGTATTATGCACCAATAAAATCATTTATATATAGGTATGGTGTGCCTTTATTTTGTTCATACATATACAAAGCTTCTGACCATTAGGGTATACAGGACTCCTCCAAGGTTGACGAACGGTAGTAATATCAAAACTGATTCCGCACAATATATAACATAGACAGTAAACTATCACGCAAGAGCTAAAATTAAATAAAAAGCTTTTGAATGAATCATGGTATTTCGAAATGCAACCATCAAGTGTCACGTGGTTTACTCTAACCAGTTTTAAACTCGGTCAGCTATGTTTCAGCATGTTTGCGAGCTGAACTTACCAATGTAAAAATTGACCGTAATAAGAGAGTTAAACATGTCAAAATCATGATTTGAGTGCCATTAGAATTGAAATGCAAGTACTTTTTCCTATTTACTGATGAAATTTTCGTTCAGATGTGTATTTGTATTAAAAAGAAGTTAAACATAATCAATTCATCAGGCCATTTAAATCAACTTTAATATATAGGAAAGGCACAGGATTATTTTTCATTTAAACGTCAGATTAGAGTACATTCTTAGTGGTAATAGTTTTACAAGGTATGTTCCAGCTTACGTCTGTCTGTCGAAATAGTTCATGCTTATTCCTGTTCTGTATATACAACGTATTGGCTAATCCAAGTTTTGGCTAATCCAAGTTTTGGCTAATCCAAGTATGTGTCATTGTACGATCATATGGTCATAAGCTAAGTAATAAAAAAGGGTGAAAACGAACAAGTTGTGTAAAATTCAACAAATAATTTATTTCTCTAAAATACTAGTTTTCTAAAAGGAACTTCATGCATTGTGAAAAAATCCCAAACAGACCTAAAAATTCTACCACAAGTTCAAATGTATGAAGTATAAAACATATAAACGTTAAGAAAAACCAACAAACAAATACAGTTTTACTAGGTATTTCCGTTCTAAGTGTTCACATTATATTAAAATATGTCTCTTAAATATTTCACTCTGTAACTTCGAGAAATAAATAACATGTTGATTTTACTTACATTAATGATTTCACCTTCTTTATTACTTAATTTTTAAGATCTAGAGCTGATGTGTTTAATGATTCGCTGCTGGCGGAGAGCACAATATATGTCACTATAGCAACGGCCGAGACTGTTCCAATTGTGACCGTCTCCTTCCGCCGCCACTTTTCCATATGAAAGAAAGTAGTTGATAATATATTTTCCAAGGCAACGAATTACATCAGATGGTTCTTTATCGACTTGATGAAAAAAAATTGATGATGTTCCCATTGCTTGAATGAATGCCGACAACTACTATGGTAGACACCATGGTTATTTACGATACAAAGATTTGCAGAAGTTACTATTGCATCGAACTATTCGTAACATTTCGTTCAATCCTACATTCACTCACATAAATAGTCGAGGTTGGTTTCTCTTTTTCCACGGAAAATTTTATTCCGAATGAAATGTAAATTTTCTGTAAACTACTCCACTGATATACCTCACTGGATTATATATTCTTGCTGAAATAGCCAAGGTCGTTGCGAATACGGAAACTGGCTTCAGTGTCCAAGGGAAATCATTCTTACCTTGTTTGCACAAAAATTGTTTTTCTTCTATCTGATCTTTTGTTGTACTCATATAAATCTCAAAATAAAACTGATTTTATAATAAACATTTTCAGTAATATTTTATTTTGTGGGTTGTTATTTTTTTTTTACAGATTTGTGCTTGATGTTAGCGTGGATATTTATTTATAGAATATATTCCCTAATAAAAGCCTCCCTTTCACAAAAGAATACTATCAAAAGTTATAAATCTTTCACGGCGTACAAAAATGGGACAGCCATAAAAAGTATACCTCGCAACAGTCTAGTAACATTACACCCGTACTCATCGGAGCAAAGAACCCTTGTAATGAAAACATATTTATAACTTTACAATTATAACATGAAAGTTCATGTAAAAACTATTGTTGTTGGATAAAACTGAGAAAAAAATTAAAGCATAATGTCAGAGATTATGCAAGGCTTACATGTAACCCATGTACCCACGTTGATAAAAATTGTCAACTTGTAATAGTGTATTTACAGCCTTATGCATCGTTCTAAAAGTGTACTAAATAATGTACCCTAAGCCAGTCCATTTATTAAAACATAATAATATGGGTCAATACGCTAGGCTGAATAAGAACCAATTTTGCAGGTAATCGTTATATTCTGTGCCCTGCGGATACTGCACAAAAGTTAATTACTCAATTATAGTCGTAATGATAAGGTTAATAAATATGATTTACTTCAAACCGGAAAGATCTAAGAATCGTAATAAGTGCTTTAATATCAATTATTACTATTCAGGACAAGCAAACTACGCCACAGCCGGGATAGTATACATGTACATTTCTACCTTCTTGTTTTTCTTTATTGTGGTGGACCGCTCCGGTAGCCTAGTGGTTACAGCGTCCGCCTCGGATGCAGAAGGTCGCGGGTTCGAACACAGGCCGAGTTATAACAAAGACTTTCAAAAAATGGTACTGACAGCAGCCTAGCTTGGCGCTCAGTATTAAGAGTTTAAGTGTTAGGACAGGTCGGCCTGGTGTCAGGATAATGTGAATGGGTTGAACATCATGCTACATGTCTGCAACCTGATGTCCCAGTGCTAGAAATCACTATAAACGGGCACACTGCAAACATCGCATCGATATCACTTAAAAATATTAAAGGTTCGTTAAAGTACACAGACACACACACACACAAACACACTTTATGATAACGCTTGCATAAGAATTAATGAGTCTTCATACACGCCCTTGTTTTTTGACAATTTCCTTAAAATTTGCAAAAAGGTACAGTTAAAAGCTGTTTGCAAATATTGGTGAAAATTGTTACGACTCGTTGGTCTTAAACTAAGTAACAGAAAATAATGAAAACCAACAAGTTTTAAATATAAAAAAGTTCAACAAATAATTAATTTCCCAGGAATACAAAGTGACAAATTAAAAATAATACATGTGAATGAAATCCTAAACAATCTTAAATTTCTATTACAGTGAATGAAATCCTAAATAGTCTTAAAATTATATCGCAAGTCCAAAAGTATAGTGTATTGCTAATAAGTTCCAGTCGTGTTCCAAATGAAGTCCAGTTTAATGTGCTGATGTGCCAATAGTCTGGAATAGTTTGAGGTGCTAACATTCTAGTTCCATCACAAAGATATAATTCAAATTGTATATAAATGAATTCATAGTAATTCCAAAATAGGTCTTGAGTCCTATAATGTATGAGCTTCTTGCAATTCAAATAACTGAAATAAATAAATTCAAGCCTCCTAGCCGAACACCTTTGAAAGACTCCTCTAAAACTGATGCTTAAGATACAAATAATAAAATTCAGGTAAATATCAATTATATAGAAATTAAAAAGAGGCATTTTCAGAACCAGAATGAGGCTCGTATACCCTACACCCACATCATTCTAATATGTCCACATGCTCATCCCTTTAGGAGCTAACGGTAACACAAAAATTAGGTCACCTGGTTTTTTTTATGATCTTAACTTAAATCCCATTAAATTTGTCAACAAGATTTCTTCTACATCTTCCAAGGTCGAAAGGCCACATCATGTTTAACTCCAATTAAATTTTATGGCTCACTATCTTGAACCTATGTGATGTGTTTAACATTTATCCTTTGAATCTAAAATGATAAAAAAAATAACATAGTAAAAAAGGTACCTATACAAAGCATTACATTTGCATTGGATTTCCTGGTATTTTCTGGGTACTTTGGGCATGGTCTCATTGAAACGCTGCCAACAATAAAGAAAAATAGAAAAATGCAAAACTCAAAGAATAAAAACTGAGTGTGCTATCCAGCCTGCGAGGAAGGTTCTTGGCCCTGTCTTGTTATCTTGTTATGATAGGCCTTAGAAGACAATAGGACCCACCATTTTTATGAAATGAATGGAAGAAACTTGCATCTCAATACCAATTCACTACGTTGCGGGGCACTGGAGCAACTGCTCCAACTTATCAGCATTAACTTTGACCTTGCCATTGTGAACAGTTAAGCCGATGAGGGCTGATCAGATGGTCGGATACAAATCCTTGCCCTTCTGGACGCGAGTCCAACGACAGTAAATGACTCGCTAGTCTGGGTGATGGAAAAAGGTCGACTTTCATATGAAAATCAATTAATACGTCAACTAATCCTTCAACTTTAACGCGGGAATCGAACAAGGGACATAAGAGGTGCAAAATGAGAAATTGATCATTACAATGTCCAACTTCAACTAAAAGGCATTGTCCATTGGTAGTGAAACAATAATTTATTTCTTTTAAAATCCTTGCAAAAGGAGGCTTATACAAATGAGTGTTTTCCTAAAAGTTTATTGTCCTTGCACTTTGACATGGTTATAACTTGAACATGATTTCCTCTAATCAAAGCTAATGTCGTATAAAGTGGAAAACCTAAACGACAAGCCTTTATTGTATTTCAACAGAATGAGTCGAGATTTAACCTAAAGATATACCGATATATTTGATGCATTCATCCAGTACCACAATGCAATCTATACAACACTCATATAATAATGCAATACCAAACGAAATGCAATAATTCAACGTAAAGCTTTATCTGATTTATGAATTATGGCAGTCGGTTGATCGGAGTTGTATCAGCTATATTATGCCAAGTAAATGGGAGGGAGTTCGGTGCATTTAACAACACAAGTCAGCTGACCAGGGCTAGATTGTGCCAGTACAGAAACCCGTTACCCTTAGATTACGAGTCCGACGCTCTACCAACAGAGCTACCAATCAAAAATTAGGTTACCTGGTTTTCTTATGACCTTAACTTGAATCCCATTAAATTTATCAACAAGATTTCTTCTACATCTTCCAAGGTCGAAAAGCCACATAATGTTTAACTCCAATTAAAATTTATGGCTCACTATCTTGAACCCATGTGATATCTTTAACATTTATCCTTTTAATCTAAAATGAAAAAAAAAATAACAGTAAAACAAAGGTGCCTATACAAAGCATTACATTTGCATTGGATTTCCTGGTATTTTCTGGGTACTTTTGGGCATGGTCTCATTGAAACGCTGCCAACATTAACGAAAAATAGAAAAATGCAAAACTCAAATGGTAAAAACTAGGTGTGCTATCCAGCCTGCGAGGAAGGTTCTTGACCCTGTTATTATCTTGTTATGATAAGCCTTAGAAGACAATAGGCTCCACCATTTTTTTTTTTTAAATGAATGGAAGAAACTTGCATCTCAATACCAATTCACTACGTTGCGGGGCACTGGGGCAACTGCTCCTACTTATCTGCATTAACTGCGGCCTTGCCATTGTGAACAGTTAAGCAAGCCGATGAGGGCTGATCAGATGGTCGGATACAAATCCTTGCCCTTCTGGACGCGAGTCCAACGACAGTAAATGACTCTCGTTAGTCTGGGTGATGGAAAAAGGTTGGCTTTTATATGGAAATCATTTAATATGTCAAAATACAATAAAGGTTTGTCGTTTAGGTTTTCTACTTTATACGATATTAGCTTTGATTAGAGGAAATCATGTACAGAAACCCGTTACCCTTAGATTACGAGTCTGACGCTCTACCAACAGAGCTATCGCAACTCCCCCGATTGAATTGTGTGAAACTGCTGACAATAATTCATCGTCTTTACCGGAATAATTTTCTGATATCTTCTGCTCTAAAGTAATAATGTATTAATTTATTTGTGTAATTTACCAGTGGTTCATCTATCTAGTTCAATTAACCCATTATCTGTATCATTTTAGGGTATTTTCTGTCTTGATTTAATATATGTGCGAGGACTCCTTCGAAATTCAAATTACAAGGAGTATCTGAGACGTTGTACCCGTGAAAAAGGTACACCTACCATAAAGTGTACCTTTGTGCTATCTGATTAACGGGTACAGAATACCAGTCACCTCGCAACAGAAGTATTGAAAAGTAATTTTGTGTAGTGCAACGACCGCATATACACAGTACTCGTTGTTTAATGTGACCTATTTCAACACGACTGCACCAAAGCAGACGACACTCCTTTCATTCCTCAGTTTGAGAATTTTATTTTAACAAATAAAAACAACAAAAGATAGAAATATATAGCACAAATATGTACTTGTGCAACTGAGACAAACTATGCAAAGTTGATAAAGAATTAGGCTATAATAGCACGTTAATGCAAGCGTACATAATATATATTGCTTACTGAGTACAATAGCACGAATGCACGATCTGTAACAAAACACGTCACATTAACTAATTAATTATAAATTACTCCGGGTGGTAAATAGTTTAATTGTCCCCCTCATTTAACTGCGCGAAAAAAAGGTCAAATTATCGTAATTATACAAATGTCTGACCATGACTTTTAACAGTAGCATTGTGGAGTTACGGTACATAGGTTAGTATAACGACTAAAGTAAGAAATAAAATGATTAAAATTATGCTCAGATAAAAATTGACCTAACGTAATATCGGGAGTATATTTTATGGGTTTTCATTCTTTGAAGTGTAGAATAAGTACATGATATATATTTTATTTAAAAATGGATTGCGGAATAAGGAAGGCATTCGAGGTTGCCTAGTGTTCCAAAGCTCTGACCTCTACCATTTCACCTCTGTCTGCTTGGGTTCGAATCTTGGGTATCTAAGAAAGTTTGCCAGTATCTTGTCGACAGTTCTAACCGTGGTTTTCCCGGGTTTTTCCTCCACTAGTAATTCTGGCCGCCATGTATAACCTATCATAGGCTGAAAAATGGCGTTAAACCGACAACAACACGAATGGATTGCATAGATGTCGTATTTGACTCTGGTACCATGCTGCAAAGGGAACGATACAACCATGCACAGAATTCCTCAACAGGTATAAGTATTCAATAACATGGACTTAAGTACAAAAACAGGATAATTAATACATAAATAATTTGTAGTTTTTATGAATTTTGAATACATTTAATAACATTAGTTCGGTAAAGTTATTTTGACAACTTGTGATAACTTTCATCAGTGACGCAAGTTTGTTTCGGAATTGGGCAGCACTGTTGCATGACTAACATACGTACTCGAAATAAATCCAGTGCTGGAAGATTCTTAAAATGTTTTCTATTTCAGCTGTTTTAGCCCATCACCCGTGGGATCTTGTTTCCAATGAAGGCAAATAAAATTTGTCGAGGGATTATTACGGTGTAGCGTGTGTAATATAGGATTTTATGATTTATATGCGGCGTTTGCTGCAGCAAGACATCACATAATCGATACTCTGGGACTTAAGGAATAAATAGGACCCGCGTTTGCTGCAAGGAAAATATAATAACTAAACGAATTTGTCATACTGCGTGTCGTAAAGACGGATTGTTCCCGCATTAGCAATGAACTGCTTTGATTATGAAAACAAAAACAAGCATTCGCCATCAAAATGATTGGCTGTCTGACTGTTTTTCTTATACTACAACTATGAGATCATTTATTATAT